AAGTAGAGTTTATGCAAAAATATAGTATAATATAATATAATATTTGCGAATCACTGAAAGAATTCATTGAAGCGAATCAATCATAAGAATGTGTTTATTCTATACAACAATTTGAAGCAAAGGGGGAAACGATGATAAAGTATAGTCTCATCTTTTTTGCATAACATAACGCATCCAAACATCTGCACAGTTATCCACTCTCTTTACAATTGTACGGCACATATGCTTACAGTTCCCGCTCTCACCAAATCATATCTCAATATTTGCTTCACTTTCAGTCCATTGATTCAAATTAAACTCAAAAATTGAGAGCCAAATACTCTTCTCATAAACCTTTTGAATATTAGATAAAATTATTAATTATTTTCGATATGATTATTTGAACAAAATCATTTGAAATATCGTATTTTTGAAATAAAAATTAGAAACAAATATAATTTTAAAAAGTAAACATCATAAACCTTTTGAATATTAGATAAAATTATTAATTATTTTCGATATGATTATTTGAACAAAATCATTTGAAATATCGTATTTTTGAAATAAAAATTAGAAACAAATATAATTTTAAAAAGTAAACACAAAGCATATTCTTACAAATCTAAAATATATAACAGTTTATAAATAATATTAAATTACTATGAGACTCTGTTGGTGAGATTAATTTGAATAATTGAAATATTTACTAGAAATTGATTTTAAGAAATGCGAAACAGGGATGTAATGAATGTAAGGGATGTAAGGGATGTTATGTTGACGACCTGTTTAGATGCTAAACAGAGAAGCATTGGACAGAGATTTGTGTACAAGAATTGAATAGGAATTCATGTAAATATTGTGTTTAACAAAAAGAATTCACAATTTTTGACAAATACTATAAAACATTTAAAACCAACTGTAAACCAACAGCTTTGCTAATAATGGACTCCCGCTGTATACAAATTCTGTACCATGTAAATGTATAAATGTACAGTATAATATATCAAAATACATACTATACATTGCATTATTAGATAAATTCTAAATTGAATATTACCATCAAATGTGGTGAATTTGAGTTAAAGAATTTATTGAAACTTTTAAATTTTTCATAAAAGCTAGTAAAACCATCATTTTAATGCAAATGTTATGGTAGCTTTGAGGTCAAAGACATGTTTACTCCATAACCATTGAATATAGTATTGGTGTGGATGCAGGTGCACACAAATATCTTCAATCGATTATAGCGTTAATTGTAGAAACACTTATCTCAAGACTTGTAACATAAATGAATATATAGTAATATTCTGTGGCCATTAAAGTTAACATGTGTTTTGTGTCTTAAAGTTAAAGGCTTAAGGTGTTCCCAAATACATAATACACGGTGTTATATATTGTATAATACTGATGTATATTGTATATCATATATATGTTTAGTGAACCTCTTTATAAACACCGCTATAGCTAAGCATTATATTACGTGAATAGCAATGGTTGAATTGACGGGTCGGTCGCCTACCCCTGACCTCGTCGTTACTTAACCTTTAAAATACATATAATTCAAATGTATTTGAAAATTAGGCAAAAAGGAAAAGCACTTCCTTTTCTTTGAATGAGACGTTCAGTGAATATCTGTATGTTTTCCATGTATTCGATATATCGGATGGATATGTGGGTGCTATACAAGGTATGGCTGTCCGACATATAATCAACCCATAGAGAAAGTGAACAAATATCTATTAATGAGTTTCCGGTCATACATGAGGGCTGTAAAGACTTTCCCTTATTTTTTTGTATTCATTTTTAAAGCTTAAGCAATAATTTATATTTGATTATAAGTTTTGTTTCATTCATTGCCCGTTCAATGTTTGTCCAAATGATGAGAGTTTCCAGTGTTTAAAAAGAAATCACTCACTAATGACATTATATTTGCATTGCATTATTATATTGAACGACAATTACATCGTAACTTTACGTAACAGTTGTCAACATAACTCATATTGTGTCTGATAAGATCACTACGTTTAGTAATTTACGTTATGTATAATTGTAATACAAATATACCCGGAGTGTTATCCAAATAGTTAAAGATCTCGTGTATTGTACAGCAATACTTTTATCAAAAATTATATCACCAAGTAATTATATCTCAAAAGTTCACCAGAATTTGTCACGACAAATTAATGTTTTCCATACAGAATTTGATTATTTCTAGTTTGAACAGTTATTATTTAATATGCTATTGCATAATGTATAGGTATCTATAAAAACATATACACAAAGCACATAAGATATTCAAGAGCTTCTTGAGTAAGTAAAATACCGGTGCTGAGGACAGCCAATTAAATATAGGTCGACTATTGACTGCGAGACGGATATGAAATATTGTTCATAAACTGACATTCCAATGCTATTATTATCTCGCTAACTTGGGAATTTATCACCTACTAAAACTATTTAAGTTCATTTAATTAGTCTAGACTTCTTATGAATCTGCCGTACCTTCCCGCGGCCATAGTCAATAGGTGTTGCACAGAGCGCTCATACAGTTTATGCAAATTAAAGTATTCAATATTTGCTGAACTCGACAAACACTTCTCAAGAGTCTCTTCGGATGCTTTTGGGACTGTGTTTGGACTCAACACTCGCTCTCATTTGAGAAATCGTATGATTTTTCAATACCTCAACGGGATATTGAAATACAGATTTCTATAAAATATTATCTTTTACTCATTTCTAGGCTCCGAAGGAAATGCGGGTATATTTTCATGTGCCGTACAATCATCCGAAGTAACCTGTATTTACATTTGAACTTCAATTCCGAGAAAATCGATTCACAGATTCAGGTTTTGCTTGACTTTAGAATGGAGTTTAAAAAGTGATTTATTACTAAATAAATAAAATAATGTTTTAATTTATTTATTGAAAACTCTTTAAATTTGTATTTTATTAATTAACTATTTTTCAAGCATTCCTTTATTATATTATATATGCCTTTAGTTTTGAGTTTAATGGTTTAATAATTCAAGAATAATCAGAAATAAAGTACAGGTAATATGGTTAAATTTGACACTATAATTGTCTCACGAGTCAAAATACCGGTACTATGAATGTCAAACTCAGAATATTCTTGTATGTATACAGTAATCTTGAATTTATATTACTATTGAATATTGAGTACATGAGTTTATAATGGAGTTTTTATTTTAATAAATATAAAACTCGCTTGAAAATTTCCTAAATCTTGCTAAATTGAACTAAATCTAAAGGTGGCACACCCTTACAACTAGTGAACACCTCCCTCAGAATGACTGCACAGAAAAATAAACTGAAAAAATTGACGAATGTATGAATGAGTACAAGATTTGTGAGAAAAACTCTTGTTTTTTATTGTCAACCAAACTCTTCACTTGCGATTGTATTTTAAGAGAAAGGGTTGAACTCTTTACACGCTGTAAACGAATTGTAAACCAAACTGTAAGTAAATTTACTTTTAGTTCTGATTTAAAGATCACGAAATTTTAAGTACTTAGGTAAGTTGTGTTCTCAGGTAAAGTGTGTAGAAAGTTAGTTTATACTATATGTTATGCAAGTCTTGTACACAATTTCTCCCCTTTTTTACTTGAATTCAATTCATACATAGAGTGAGAAGAAAGACTGAAAGGAGACTCAAGTGAGAAGTTAAAGGCAGACAGGACTCCAACTTTTGGGCCCCTTTGCTATACCTTAAGGTCCAGTTTCTTTGATATATTATGTATGACCAGCTGTCTGACATACAGGTGCTTTTCTAATGATATTCACTATTCTAGTTTATTTTTGTTGTTTTGAAGAATTTAATAATTTAAACTGTTAAAAGAAAAATTTTTAGAAAAAATAATTAAAAACAAATCTTAGTTAAAATGTGTTATAGTTTATGTTTATACTTAATTTAAATTTATTTTATGTTTATTTTTTTATTATAATGACATGTTTACATTTGAGCAAATCCAAGCTTATTACCAGTCTTTGAGTATCGCTTAAATTACAGACAAACAAAAACTGTTGTATAAACGGTTTGTGCGATCAACTAATTTAATAAATGTTTGCAAAAAATACAAATAAAAATGCCTAAAAATCTTATGTAAAAATAAACTAAACGACTAGAAAATAAAACATAAAATGAAAATTAAAATCAAAAAAATTTCATTTGAGAGAAACAAATATATAACGAAATGGCAGTTCAATTGGCAGTCAAAGGCCATCACACCTGTCCTTAATTACTCGGCGCTGAGACGTGTGTTTCTTACGAGAATTAACCTGTTTTTATGATTACATGAATATTGACAAGAATTTGAGAGTTTCACTCAAAACTTTTTTATATGCTTTCAAACCTAGTGTTAATAATAGCGACTCGCAAGTCAGAGCTAATGTAAAATAGTTTTTGGCAAATAATATGAAGCAAATAGTGGAGTGTCTGGTCAGCGCCTCACTAAACATCGTGACCTTAACGACAGGTGCTCTCAGGCCTGGAATTCTTGTCTATGTTAACATTCATTCACTTTACTCTTGTCTCAAAACTTTAAAAGTTTTTTCTTTATTAACAACTTTTGCATAAAAAGAATATTTCCAACAAATGATTTGTTCATTTGAAATATATTTGATAACAAAAAATATTGTTAAATAATGTATATAAAAAATGGCTGTAAATTGTGGTATAATAATTACATAAAAATTGTGATCAAATGTATATATACTGTAAGAAATAAACGATAAATAATTAATGCAATTATCTATGTATGCTTTGATGGCACTATGAATTCACGTGAATATAGCGCAAAACTATATGCGACTAAAATTAAACACAAAAATTCAATCAAATTATATAAGAATTGATTCTTTGGTGCAGAAGAAGGACTTCCTTTTTATATAAATTCTTCAAACAAATTATGTTTTATATTATATTACAAGCAATTTATAATAGAATATGTGAGAAAACAGTAGAATTAATCTGTGGGACTAGTAGTGACAATACATGTATACAACTACTGTATTCTATGGCCGGCAACACCACCAGCACCGGCACATCCACCGTCTTCGTGTTTGGACAGTAAAGACATTCTCGAGAATGTTTTGCTACACGTCTTGCAGCTATACTTCTTGACATCGGAATGGGTCTGAAGGTGTGCTCTGAGGTTAGAGCGATCGGCAAAGGCTCGGCTGCAGAACTCGCACTGAAACGGCTTCTCTCCCGTATGGGTTCGGATGTGACCTAAGGGTTGCAAATGAGTATAGAGTTAGTGCTCGGCTATTAGAATCAGTTTCATTCAAGTGGACATACCTTGCAATAGCCAGGGTCTGGAGAAGGCTTTGCCACAGAGTTTGCACTTACAGGGAAGGGTATGGGTTCTGATATGCATTTTCAACGCACCCAACGAGACGTAAACTTTATCGCAATGCTTACAACTGAAGGCTTTCTTGGATTGTGTGGAGCAATGAAATTCTTGATGTTTTGATAGACCACTGAATGTCGAGTAACTCTTATTGCAATCCGTGCAGTGATATCGAGTGGCACTCATATCCGACCCATTCATCGGTTTCCGTGATTTGCCGTTTTTGTCCGCTTTATGCGATTCACTCGAAACAACTGAACCTCTCGAGTGAACACTTCCTCGTCCGGAGTCATCCGATCCGTTGAGACTCGGCGTCGGCGACGATATGCTTAGCGATCCATTGCTTGTCTTTATGGGCAACTGCTCGACCCAATTGGACAGGTATTGCGGTCTGTATTCTGAATGAACCGGTGATATGACTGCATGTCGGGTGTGATTGCGAGGACTGATCTCCAAAGCACTTGAACTATAATTATTGGGAACTAAACGCTCTGAGCGTAGAATCGGTGTCTGCGGTGGAGATATCGGGTAATCGAGGTGTCGGTTCTGGTAGTAGAGGGACGGGGAGGTCAAGACATTCTTGTTCTCATTGTATCCGAAGTTTCCACAGTTTCCAAATCCAAACGAAATAAAGGGAGCCGTTGTCTGCAAGTGTCGGGACATGTGATGCGGTGATGACGGAGACAATCGGAGACTAGAGTTAATAGTCTCCAAAGGGATGAGCGCTGGCTTTGAGAGTTCGCCTATTTGTCCGTTCGGTGAGTAGTTTTGAGGGGACAGACATTTGGCAGTTGCCAGAGAATGCAAGTATTGAATGTCACGGTATTGAGGACTGGGGTATGAATTGTGATATTCGCTGATATTTTTTATCTTCTCATTCTTGACACCAGTATTTGGTTCTCTGAGTAAATGGCTTTTGATGCTGAGATCAAAGGGTCCCTTTCCATCTGACAATCAATAATTTGGACATTAATTCTCCAGAATTACATAATTTCTAATAATTTTAAACAACTTCTGACTAAAGTTTGCTTGAGTGAAAGCATTAACAATAGGTTATAGTCTAATGAATACAATTTATGATATTTGCTTATATTTTAGTGATAAATGAAACACTTATTGACAAAAGCATATAAAGTGGGTATAAAATAGCGATAATTGTGAATATAATAGAGCACTTGTATTACAATCATATACTAATCATATGAACGCAATTATCTTTGATATCAGTTGTTTTGAAATATATTGTCGACGGCTTATAGCAGTGGTTCACACCTTGTTGCGAGACGTGTGTCTGGCAGCTGCCGGTGCCGCCTGTGCTAAGATTTACCTGTCATTCAAAATAGTGTGTTATTCTCAACGAATGTGTCTCTCTGTCTACACTTCACTATAACTATATTCTCTATTTGTCTCTCATCTCTGATTATGTTATTCAAGTGGTATTTATTTGTAAAACACAACCAAACTGTTAGGGCTGTTGTGTTGGGGCAGGTGTTGTGTGTGCTATGAGTTTAACACTACTCTGTGCTCTCCAACGAACATCACTTTTGTCACTAATATTTGTTTATTCAATTACTTTCTCTTGTTTTCAAGTGATTTAAGCACTTCTTTCAATACACACTATACATGTATTTCCTAATTAATTGTGTCCAACAGTTTAAGGCATAGTCATAAATGCGGGCTAACGCTGTCTCTAACACACGACTGTCCTTCGCTATTGAGGTCACCATTCATTAAGTCTTAACTTATCACTCGTTTTACAATTTGTTTGAATAGTATTAAGAAAAGATATTTCTGAAAATCACTTATGAAATGATCGCTTGCTTTCTAAAGGCGTTTAAATAAGTGAGAAAAAACTTACCATAAGATAAATCGATGACATTTGAAGTGTCATTGGATTTGGAAAGACTGTTCTCTTCATCGTCGGTACATCCATTGGATGAGGTATTTGTGTTGGTGTTGATGGGTTTGGTTGACCGGGAAGATGATGATGAAGATCGCTTACTGATGAGGAATGATCGGGGCATAGTTGGCACTGAAGTGTTGCTTATGTAACACAAGTTTGGCACAGAGTGGAGAAGCTGTGAGAGTGAGAGCACACTCTTATAGAAGCACTTCTATAGCGATGGAGCCGTATATGTGTTGGAAAGCAATGAAATGAACTCAACTCTGCTTTCGATGAGAACTCAACTCTGCTTTCGATGAGATCTGAACGTCAAGTGAAGACTACGGATCGGTAGGCGCTGTATATATACCATGAGCTGGCAGTCCAGCGGCATTCAAAGCACAGGCAGGTGGACGACTAAGTTCGGCCCAACCACAACGTTACTGACTGTAAGCCGACCCAATCACAGCCAGGTATTCATTTGTTGCCCTCTCCTCATAACAGCTGCATATACTCTACCACCAGAGCACTGGCACTACAGTCAGTCACTACAGTAACTGCTCTTAACTTACTATTGAGGGGAGACTCGAAAGAGGGGCCAAACTTGTCACTGACAATAGACTTCACATAAAGCTCTGAGACATTATTGGGTTTGGGATAACACCAATAAGTCCCATACGATTACATTCAACATTTGCGGACATAGAGAGTGCGAGAGAGAGAGAGAGCGAGAGAGAGAGAGTGCGAGAGAGAGAGGGAGAGAGAGAGAGACCCAAATGAGTATTACTTACAAACAGGTGTAGTCACTTCTCATGTCTCATAAATAAAAGCAATAAATTAAACATTTTATTAATTAACTTAAAATAATACATTTAATGCAAAGCACATAAAACTCGCTAATATTGAAAGTTGGAGCCGTATATGCAAACAGTATGGAAATGTATGGAAATTAATGAATGGATAGCCGTATAAAAAACGAGTACATTATGTTTCACATAGCATTGAGCGATATATTGATGAGCGAATGCCATCATTCAGTGAATTGAATACAGAATATACAGAATACAATGCGTGAGAATATTTAAAAATTCATAGCATTTTTTATTTATGCAAACCTTTTATGAACATTTTGATGGCATTTGCCTGATGTCTGGAGTGGAACAGTAGTCAACCCTTTGGGGATCCATCGGATCCATCATTCTATTGACAAGAGTTATGTATTAAAAAGCATATCGAAAGTGAATTGGAAGTGAATCAAGAAAAGAGTTTACTCTATAAATGAGTGCACAGATGGTCTGTCGGTGTGATGGTTGGTGTGATGGTCCGTACATTTTACGACTGGTGTCTCATTTTATGACACAATTTCAAAGAGAGACGACTGATGACTGAGCGATCAATATTCATCTCTACCTATTCAAGTCATTTCACTACTGAATGAATGAGCAAAAACATTATCAACACAATTGTCACTACACTATAACGTATTGAGTACTTCTGTAACCATCGATATGCTGGCTATGCTCCGCACACCCGATAAACCATAGCTCTCTCTCTCTCTCTCTCTCTCTCTCTCTCGCACTCTCTATGTCCGCAAATGTTGAATGTAATCGTATGGGACTTATTGGTGTTATCCCAAACCCAATAATGTCTCAGAGCT